ACTCCGTTGTTAATTGGGTGCGATTTTGGGATCATGTAATCATTATGATCCACGAGGACAATAATAACATTTTTTTTCTTAAGTTGTTTATCGCTTCCCAATGCTTCCAATTCAGCAGCCTTCTCTGTGGTTTCCCAATACGATGATAGTGATGTGAGAGCAATTCAATCCACTAATGTGGTCTTGAGAGCGTCTATTGATGCCCTGGATACGGCCGATAAAGTACTTGTTTGCTTGGATATACTTTTGATTTGCGCTTTGAAACAGAATACAAATTCCCGATCAAGTTCGGATCTGGGTTATTAGGTGATAGCTGATCTCATTGAAGCTTAGAGTTACAACAATTTTTCTGAAATGTAAAAGCAAGGAGGCTAATTGTTCAGAGTCCATGTATTTACTACCGTTCACACCATGGCTACCCTCGAGTTAGGCAGAGCTGAATGCTACCAGGCCGGCCTCCGGATTGTGGATAGGCGGGTACCTTCAGATTGACTGTGAATATGTTATAACATGTCGCGACAAAAAAGCAGTCGCGAACACACAGCGGTGGCACTATCAGGGTTGGGTGTTGGGTTTCAGGCATGCGACCTGACTGCTGTTTAAAAGCCCAGTGACGATGTCCTGACAACAAAGGTCGATCTGACTGGCGTTTTAAAACTAAAGTCATTGAACCCCTCATTTCCGAGGCGAGGGCTTACTTTCTGCTGCCTTGCAGTTCGCACTTGATTGTGCAAAGGTTAGAGGTGCGTCCTCAAAACAAAAAAAGGCCAAGTGACGCTGTGGGTGTCTCTCATACCAAACCCCCAAGGAACTTCATAACCATGATGTAGCTGGTGGATTACTAATAAATGATACAACACGAATAAGCCCTTTATCTCTGCTACTTCCTAATTAGTCCCATTCCTAATTTGTGGTGGTCTTCTGAATGAGATATAGCTATGGGTGACATATTAGGTAAAGCAGTAACTTCAGCAACCGAGGCATCGCGTATTCCATTGCCGATAAGACAATGCAAAAATGAGTTACGTAAGAGGGAACCGTGACTAAACTCATGGTATTTATTTAAGAGAAATAAAAAATCGATTTGTGTAAGAAAACACAAGTTGTGAACAAAAAAAGCTTTTGAATGAATCACGACTGGTGTTACTGAGATTTCGGTACTTTCCTGTATTCGTCATGTTACTTAGATGACATGCTATGATGCAAGCAAAGGCTTAGCATTGTCCGGGTTGTTCGCACCATGTGCTTGTGGCTGTGAATACCGGGCAGGGGTGGTGTGTGTGTGTGTATGTGTGTGAATCTGTCTGACTCTCGGTTGATGGAACCCTTCCTCGAAAGTTATCAAGCTATTGACACTAGGTAACAAGCAAACACTCGAGTCAAGTCAAATCCATCAAGTTACGTTAAGCTTTATACACACCTCAGGGTGCATTTTCATCACATTCAACAAGTCATACAGCGAAGAAAATGTTAGACTTTAAGAGAAAAAGATCTAAAGTTTACAAAACAGAAAACAAACCTTCATGTGAGTAATGGAGGATTCAATTCAATTTCAAAGGTGAATTCGTTATGCATATGGCAAATGAAGGGTGGACTGGAAAGCTAGGAGCACAGTGGACAGCTGTTTCGACCTGGTTGGGTCTCACCTGTGCGGTGCGCGAATTCATCGAGCCGACTAGGCATCGAACCCGGGACTTCATAGGCAGAACACAAGCATGCTACCCACTACGCCACCGGACAACAGTTCGTCGGACTGTTTTTCATGTTCCATTCACACGATATAGCACAACTCATCTTTGCGAGCTTGTTGCTTGTAATTTCGTCTTCAGGTATTTACAGTTGTGTGTGCGTTTTTATATTAAATAGAAATAAACGTGATTGGTCCATTGAGGTTAAATGCGAAAATACAACAATGTCTGACAAGTTTAATCGAAGCGAGTGGAAAAAAGCGGACAGTGGAGGGAAGGGGGATCAAGGTAAATTCTGGAAATTTCCGATGACCTTTTTCACTTGCGACTTGTCACGCCTTGTTGCGTCATCACAGCTTGATTGAGGTAGTGGTTTGGGTCGTCCTGTAGGTTGGTGCGAGACCAAGGCAACTGGAGTGCAGCAACCATTTTCTTCTGTTTGCACAGTGATGGGTTCTTGATTTTTATTGCCACAGCTTCTGTCGTTGCCAAGTGACGTTGCCGAATGTAGTTTGACTTGTGTGGGGGCACTTTGAAAATGACTTTAAATTCATCGTTGTCTGCCTGGTGCCTGGTATCGGTGGGGTGGGTCACAATCGCACTGGTTATTGTTTTCTTGCAATTCGTGGTAAGCCAAGCCGGTTTTTGTTCTGCAGCAGAAGCTGTAGCAATAAAAATCAAGAACCCATCACTGTGCAAACAGAAGAAAATGGTTGCTGCACTCCAG